GTACAGATTTTTATTCTTATTCTGCAGTTTTATAGAAAATAAGTTCTGGGATAATACTACTGTTCACAAATGATTTAAGAAACAAAAACTGATGGTTTCAATATAATAGTATCTACACTGGACATGCTTGGCCCCTCGAAATGGGACCCAGGATAACCACACAATATGTAGGTTGTGGAAACCAAGAAGAGAGAAGTGTGCACCAGATGATACTTGGGTTACAAGGACGGTTTCAGTATCTAGCAAAGTACCAAGCCACCTGCGGGGTGTTCAGTAAGCTGTCCTTGCTGGGGAAGGGGAGTCTACAACTAAAAACGCCTCTCAGTTACCTACGAGGTGCGCCTGCAGGTTCCTCTGCAACGCTGCCGCCTGCAGCCTTCACATCCAGAACTGCAGAATGACAATGTGGCTGAGTTCTGTCACTCCTCACGCAAGAGCTCTTCCAGACTTCCTTAAATGTCGTCGGCTGACACCATGACACGCATGTCTGTGCGGTTACTCTTTCTCTTCTTTGGGCGTAAGGAATCAGACTTCGGCTCCGTTGTTCCACGTGGCCACTGGACACGCGAATGTGCATGGGTTTATTTGACACTTTTGCTTTTAATGGGGAAGACAGCTGGGAGAAGAGCACAGTGACCCTGCAAAACTCGGTCTCCTGTGTGGCTGAGGGCCTCTGTCTCATTATAAGTGTGGTTCCGCAGACACAAATATTTCCGGACCTTTCGTTATCTCGGTCTCTGAACACGGGTGCGAGTGCCCAGGTCTCCATGGCAGCTCAAAGCGCCACAGCTTTGTTGCGTGAAACCCAACAGGTGAGGGGACCTGGGGCCAAGGCCAGAGAACACAGCGTTCTTGTTTCAACATTTCTTTTCATTTGGAAAATATTTTTGTATTTCTTTGTGCCTTTCCTCTTCCTCTTTATTGTCATAAGCTGCACTGCAACGTTGCACCGGAGAGGCTCTAGGCGACCTGTGCCGCTTTTCATGTCGGCTCCGCAGAGCTTGTCCTTGCAGCGGTACACGCCACACCGGCTGGTGCCCTGCTGCTGCCTCTGTCGGAAGGGACCTCGGGGCATCTGTCAAGCCTGTTATGACAGGGCCCAGGAAACCCTAGGAGATAAGAGCAGAACGTGGTTTTGCACTGAGCCAAGGGCACGGCCCAACAGGCCCGTGTGGCTCCAGGTGCATGGAGCTGCCTGGTCACCTTGGACGGCTTGGATGTTGGGTCCCTGGTGGCTCGTGGCTGACCCATGTTGAGGTCTTGGGTCTTGCTGGCTGCACTCCTGTGGCTGTCCAGCCCTGGCACCCTCCCTCAGAGACTGGCCCTGCTTGGGAATCTGGAGATCCACCAGGAGGCTCCTGTCGATGACAGGACCCAAAGGCTCCCAGCCCAGGAGGACGGCCTGCGTTGGGAGCAGAGGGTGGCCTGCGGGACTGACTCAGCTGACACGGGAGCCACCAGAGTTCTATCCTGCGGCCCACTTTCAAATCCATCCTTAAGCAGAAGTCGTGGTGACTGGGGGTCTCCTGAACGGCATACGGCACAGCTATAGTGCCCTCTGTTGGAAGAACTCACACGAAATGCACACCCAGGCCAAGGAGGCTGGGAGCGGCTGCCTCGGAGAAACCATCTTCTGCTCTGTCCGGGGCAGAGGAGGTGCCAATTCCTGGTGACAGCTGATTGCTGGGAGAACGCAGAGCACGCCCCCTGCAGGGCCCCTGGATGCAGAGCCTGCCCCACACTCCCCAGTGCTCTTCCCAGTGACACCAAAGACACAGAAGCAGCCCCCTCTGCTCTCGCAGTGAAAGAAAGTCAGAAAATGAGCAGAAACACCCTGGGGAGGCCAGACAGGATCACATGTAGTGTGCGCAGGACCCACCAGCCTCGCCAGGAGTGAGGGGCCCCAGGGGTCTGACCTCAAAACTCAGATGCCTACGCGACCCACGTGCGACTCACCGTGCTTCAACACTACAGCACTGAGAATGTCTGAAGTCA